CTTTGGTTTGTAAAAAAATCCAATTTTCATTGGAATGAGCTCAAACTTGAAACTTAACATAAGAACATATATATGCATCAGAAAAAATTATAAAAATGGAAAATCCTCTCCTTTTCATTTTTGGCGAAATTTGGCTGAAGACCCTGTACTATAGTACAGGGACTTTGGGCCGATTTTGGAGTAACTTTAAAAATTCATAAAAAATCCAATTTTGATCAGAATGAGCTCAAACTTGAAACTTAACATAAGAACATATATATACATCAGAAAAAATTATAAAAATTGAGATTTCTCTCCTTCTAATTTTTGGCGAAATTTGGCTGAAGACCCTGTACTATAGCCCATGGTCTTTCATCATAATATACTCTTGATTATAAGCACTGATGATTAGCATTGGGCTATGATCTTATATGATTATATTCATTGCTATACTGAGCTCATCATCATGTAGTAAACTAAAACCCTTGATTGCTAACTGTTTCCCTATAAATCCTATTATTATTATTATTTCTAACATTCTATTACTACAGGTTTTATTGACTGGTATATGTCAACCTAATACTCCTTTATTCATAATACAAGACCACACCCCTTGCTCCTCCTCCTCTGTCTGTACTGTTGAGGGTTTTGCAATACATCACTATACTGGTACTGGCTGCTGGCCTAGAGCCCTTCATCTTGAAGGAGCAATATTCACGTCTCTCTTCCTCTTATTATTTTGGGATATCATTTATACGAATGAAGTACCTGATGTATTTAGAGGACATTATCAAGTATGCTTTATAATATTTCATACATTAGTATGTGTTAAGGTGGATTCTCAATATGACGCATGTGCGTCCGTCATGACCGGAAGTACTGTATAAACCAATGGAAGCATGCGTCAGATTAGAAAACATTTCTATTCTGATGCATTGACACATACTCCCATTGGTTTATACAGCACTTCCGGTTATGACGCTAGCGCATGAAAAACAATACGTCATATTGAGAACCCAGCTTAATACATAATTAGTAGTCTAATTATGAGTGTTCTTTTAATTGTTTTGCATTGCTTTATTTTGTTAATTTTTTAGACTGCTCCTCTTGATTTTGGTAGGGAGGACTTTTATATGTCACGTAAGTCTGCAATTGACAGTAAACTGGACTGGATCAAACGTTCAGCCATTGATGTGAGCTGAGTTTATGCGCATGTACATGAATACAGCATATTTTAATCCAGTTTAATTTGATGTTGCATGTGTATGAATTTTATTTCTTGTTTGTATAGCTAATGCTTTTCTCGTAATTGTTTTCCTGCATCATCATGACCCTCCACTATGTTGAGCTGAACTTATGCTCACTGCTACACTGTTCATGTGTGCAATTTGCTTGACAAACATCCAGTGATAGTAAATCTCGTTGTAGTAATTATTTTTCTTGATAATATACTTAAGTGGCTGTTGTATTACCCACAAGAACATCAGCCACAAATAATTTACCCATTTATGGTAATATACGCCCACACATTATTATACATTTTCTAATGCATACACTTACAGTGTGTTAATAGTATGCTACATAGAAAGTTTGTGTTCAAATATTATTTGTCTAAAAATATATACCAAGAGAACCAATTATTCTAAAGCATGGCTCCACATTCAAAATTATGCATATTGGTGCCCTAGTTTTGATTTCATTTAGAAGCAATTTCAATACAATTTTGTAAAGCTGTGAGTG